AAAAAAAAAAAAAAAAAAGGTTTTGTGTAGCCAAGGATGACCTCCAAATCCTTGTTCTGCTGAATGCTGGGAGTATATAAACACCAACTTATTTTTCCTGGACATCTTTCTGTATGTACCAGTGAGCTATTTCTCAAACTCATGCATCACATTTTATGGCCACCATTTCTTTTCGTGCCCTTGGTCAGGGAGGTTTCCCAGGTTTCATCTCCCTGGGTGACTGCAGTTCATTCTGTTGGTTCTTCTTCCAGGATGATAAGGAGTTTGGAATAGGTGACCTCGTGTGGGGAAAAATCAAGGGCTTCTCCTGGTGGCCTGCCATGGTGGTATCCTGGAAAGCTACCTCCAAGCGCCAGGCCATGCCCGGCATGCGATGGGTACAGTGGTTTGGTGACGGCAAGTTTTCTGAGGTGAGGCCATGGCAAGGTGGGCTCTTTATACCTGAGGCCTTGCTTCTCTTGGGGTGGCTCTGAGGTCAACTTTCTGGACATGGATGCATTAAGGTTGGCATTGGGACCAGAGTAAAGAAAAATGCTTCTTGGGTTACTTGTCTTAAACGCCTGCTTGTGGGTCAGAGATAAGCTGCTTTTTCTTAGTGAAAGGGTCTCAGTAATCTTCTGGCTATAACTCAGTATGTACAATAGTCTGGCTTTGAACTCAGATCTGCCTGGCCTGCTGCCTGAGGCCACACCTGTGACTAGTCTACTGGAAGATGGTGTAGCATTTAGAAAGCATTTAGAAAGGTAACTCACTTACATCTGGATGCCCACACTCCCAAGCAAGGTTTCCAATGCCCTGCTGTGGCTTCTGTGGGTAGCTACACACACACACACACACACACACACACACACACACACACACACACACACCCCGGGTATTGTGAAACACCTTAAGCAAACCTTGTCTACACAGAAAAACTGCATGAAGAAACCCTGTCTCATTAACAACAAAAAAGACAGTATGAACTTCTAGTATTAGCAATTTAAAATGAATCTTTCTTTTAGCAACTTAAAATGAGTCTTCCTTTATAATGGGAGTCTTCTGGGCCTAAATTAGAGATTTTATTTTGTGTCTTTGAAGTGCTGTGGATCCAAACCATGTACCTCACATCTCATCAGCCCACTTTTGACTCTTAACTGTTAAAACACATGTTCCAAGATCTGCTTTAAATTTTTTTTTACCAGTATGGGTGTTTCCCTACATGTATTTATGTACACCATGGGAGGCCGGAGGAAGGACTTCAGATCTGTAGATCTCATGGATCTTCACTCCGGGCTTAGTAACAGTCCTGAGCTACCATGTGGGGGCTGGGGATGTAACCCAAGTCCTTTAGAGAATGAACCGCTGTGCTCTTAACCCCTTAACATTGTCTAGTGCTCTGCAAAGATTTTGAGTGATACAGAATGGATTTCCTGGGGTTTCCTTAGAAATGTCAGTGTTAGGCCAATGCCCAGCCATAGACAGGAAGGACTTCCTGAGATACAGCAAGCAGGTAAGACTGAAGTGGCATTTAGGACTTTGGTTCAATTCAAGTTTTCTTTCCTACAAATTGGGTTTCCATGTATCCTACATTTCCCTGGTAAGAATAATGAAATCTGATCTGAGAGATTACATGCAGTTGTCCTGTTTTAACAGCAGAGGGAGCAGTAGGACTTGTGACTTGGGCCTCTGCTAGTGGTTTGCCTGTTTTTGTTTTGTTTTGTTTTTTGTTTTTTTTCTTTTCCTTGAGACAGGGCTTCTATGTGTAACAGCCCTAGCTGTCCTGGACTAGCTCTGTAGCCCAGGCTGGCCTTAAACTCACAGAGATCCACCTGCCTCTGCCTCCCAAGTGCTTAGATTAAAGGCGTGTGCCACCGTTGCCCCGTTCTATGCTGGTCTTTAAAGCATCAAACTACGGGGATCCAGTGAGACATAACGTACTCCTTTGTAGACAGGGTCAGATGGCATTAAGGGGTAGTTTGGCGATGGCAGGATTATAGGAAGGCCAAGACCTGCCCAGAGCCTGTAACGTAGTCCCCACTGGTACTGTGTTACATGTTGCATGTTACATTGCATGTTACATGTTATGTTACATGTTGGCTAGAGCAGCTGGCACTCCCTTGTCACCCCTGGTGGCCACACCACGGAGTTGAGGCTCTGAGCATAAGATGGGGCTGAGTGTGAAAGCAGGCATTGCATCCTGGACACCCCCTATCTAGAGTTGTGATAAGCAGCCTGAGTCACCTCATTTTATCTTTGCACTCACTAGGAATCCCACCCATAATTCATTTCTGCATTGGCACAAGGCAATTTCCCTTTAGTGATCAAAACATGAGTTATACAGTCATTGTGAGAATTAAGAATTAAGAATTAAGCATATTTTCAGCCTGTGCAAGGTGGGAACTTACTGATTGGGAGTCAACGTTATCACTCAGGAAGGTATGCAGTTATCCTTCTTGCCCACATCTGGAGTTTCTCAATGCCAGATCTGCTCTGTGTGCCATTTCTCCTTTGCCCTTTATTTTTCAGTACTGGCATCTGTAAGTTGTCACTAGGTTGGGCTCTGGATGAACCAGTGCACATTAAGCTCAGGTGTGGGTCGATCATAGTTTCGTTTTTTCTCTCCTAGGTCTCAGCTGACAAACTCATGGCTCTGGGGCTGTTCAGCCAGCACTTTAACCTGGCCACCTTCAATAAGCTGGTGTCTTATAGGAAGGCCATGTACCACACTCTGGAGGTAACATGGGTGTGGGTGTTAACTAGGGTGTCGCCCTAAAGGCAGGAAAGAAGAAACCTACTGAGGGAAAGGGGGGGTAGAAGGTATCCTTCAAGACTGGCTTGGAGGTAGAGGCACCAAGAAAGTAAATGGGGAAAAGATGGGTCCTGACCTCTACTGGGTTAAATTGGTTCCAAAGGGGTCACTGGTAAGTTGCTAATATTGATGAAATAGGTATGACAGGATGATTCCTGGCTTGGGTGTTCACATAGTCATACTACTAAAAAGAGCCTTTTACCAACCTGTGAACAGGATTTCGAGGCATAGAGGAGGTAGTAGCTAGTTTTCTCTTAATATAGTTTGTAGACATTTGTTTATTCCTGAGAATCATTAGGTTCTTCCACTCCCTCCCTATAGCTCTACCAACTTTTCTGCCATGTATGCAAGTGCCTAAATTATATGTACAGATTCTTTTGGCCCTTGAAACAATGGATGTTTGGCTACATCCCTTCTGAAGTCTTAATCCAAAGGTAGTCTTCCAAGACAAGCTATTGGAGATGAGGATGGAACAGCCTGAGGCTTGCTTATACATCTTAATAGCTCAGCTTAACCAATCTCTTTTAGGGATCTGAACATGTCTGGTGCCTATAGGGAAAGATATCTGCCACCCATGCCCCCCTTTCTATTGTTTCCTAACCTGACCCTCAAGCAGACCCCTGTCACATAACAAAGCCAAGGACAGCTGTCCAGCTCTGAAAGACACCAGTGTTTAGGGAATGCAGGCCCCAGCAGGAGGAATCCCTGCGTCCACCCTGGCACATACCTCATTCGCCTGCTCCCATTCATGGACAGACTTTGCCTTTATTTGTGTCTTGGCAGAGAGCCAGGGTGCGAGCTGGCAAGACCTTTCCCAGCAGCCCGGGAGACTCGCTGGAGGACCAGCTGAAGCCCATGCTGGAGTGGGCCCATGGGGGCTTCAAGCCCACTGGCATCGAGGGCCTCAAACCAAACAACAAACAACCAGGTAGGCATGAACATATGCCACTGCTGCTGGTGTAGCCCTCAGCCACACTGGCAGCCCCAACACTCTACTGGGCCGCCTCAAGCAAGGCTTGACTTGTGCCCTGTGGACCCCAGGGCTCTTAAAAGCCTCTGAAAACTCAAGGGCCGCTATTACCTACCTTGTCAGGCTTCCCGTGTGCAATTAATCTTTTCCACAAGTCCAAATTCATCCTTTACCTTTGTGGCCATTCTTTCTTTAAAATAAAAAATAAATAGACAAATAAATTTGGCTACCTGTCATTTTGACCGGTTTCTTATCTCCCTGAGTATACTCATGATTCAACATAATGAAGTGAAGGATGGACCCGAACAGCCCCAATATCTAACACAATGTTTTTGTTTTGTTTTCCTGCAAAAGTGGTTAATAAGTCGAAGGTGCGTCGGGCAGGCAGTAGGAACTTAGAACCCAGGAGACACGGTATTCCCTTGCCATCTTTGAAGGCTCTGTTTTCTTTCCTCTGTCCTGGGATTTCTTGGCATCTATGGTGCTCACTGGAGAAGAATCAAGTCTCCTAAGCTGATAAGACTCCCTCACCTCACTCCCCACCCTCACTTACCCTCGGGCTAACCACGGGTGCACATCCAACCTTCTACACTCTTTGGATTATCGCCTTCTCTCTTGTTTCTTAAAATTAATGGCATATAAGCACTGGCAATGGTCACTTTGTCATCAAAAGCTCTTGGAATTTTGGTGTGTTTTAAATCTTAAATTTTGGTGTGTAAAAAAAAAATCTTTGTTTTTGTGTTTATGTTTGGAGACCTGTGACGATCAGAGGACAGTGTTCCAGACTGTAGTCTCTAACACTTGGGTGACTGGTTATCATACCAGATTGCTAGACTTAGCTGCAAACACATTTACCCACAGCCGTCTCCTGGCCGTGTTTTTGTTTCTGGCCTCACCGTATACCCCAGGCTGGATTTAGTTATAAGAGTGTGTCATTACACATGCTTTCCTTATGGATTTTGATGGGTTTAAAATTTCATTTCCTGGGTAGGCCATAGCAGCGCATGCCTTTAATCCCAGCACTCAGGAGTCAGAAGCACATGGATCTCTGAGTTTGAGGCCAACCTGGTCTACACAGCTAGTTCAAGGACAGCTAGGACTACACAGAAAAACCCTGTCCCAGCATAAATTATTTCCTTAGTTGGAGGAGTCAAATTTAATCCTTTGTATTATGAGTCAATATAAAAACACTAGGATGTGAGCCACAGTTAGTCTACTTTTAAATTATTACTTATTATAAAAATTAAAATATTTAGTTTTAGTGATGTTGGTTAATAGATATCACCTGATTAGTAATTGATTATTAAATGTACATTGACTAGTATTATAAAATTGGCTAAAATAGATTCCATTGTTTTAAGTTACTCCAATTGGACCAATCAATGGCTTTACTTGACTGACATGAGCCTGTCCTGCTTCCCGGGTGAGAGGAGCTTTGAACTGGCTTCTGCTGTGGGTTCCCCTCTGGGGTTCCCTACACCCATCACTGTCCTCTGCTCTAGATGCAGCTGCATCCCAGACAAAGCATGGTCTTGTCCTAGGCCTGCCTTGTCTCTTAGACCTTCAGTCACATCCGTCTGCTTCCCCTCCAGAGAACAAAGGTCGAAGACGCACCACCAATGACTCTGCCGCTTCTGAGTACTGTCCCACACCCAAGCGCCTCAAGACAAACAGCTGCGGAGGGAAAGACCGAGGGGAGGATGACGAGAGCCGAGGTGATTTG